TATTTCATGCAAGACCAGTAAGCATGCTGGACCGAGTTACAGACAAAAAGGGTTTTCATGAAAACCTCTCTGGAGTATTTTTGGTATTCATCAAGATTTCCAGCCTTTCACAACAGTTACAAAAAGAGACGTCTCTTGGGTGTATACTCTTGAGGAAAATTACTCATTGGCAATGTCTTTTTGAGGAACATTGCCACCACAGATGGAAGATGGTTCAAAGCAGGGCAGTTTAAGTACTATCAGATACACAAGACTGAAACCAAAAGCAGAGGAAACATTTACCACATTGGAGAAAGGAAAAAAAACCTGTAAGCTAGTATCCAGGACTGAAGGATGATCCGAAGGGAAAAAAATAGAACAAACAAAAATAGGTGATTTTTTCACAAGAACTTTTAGATTACTTCATGTTTTTATCTTGTCTAACATAGCTGGAGTTCCTATAGACTGTTACTTCAGTTCATTATTTGTCTCAGTACAACTGGATATGCTACAAACTGACCCAACGTTGCCCTGTATCAACTCTGCTATTTCACCTTGGGAATAGCGTGTCTCAATTTCTTCACTTCAAAACTTATCAGTTGTATGGATGCGTCGTCTGGATGACACAGGAAGAGTTCTCTTTTCCAAAAAGTCAGATAAGCCAGCTGCTTATCTGATCAACTTCAGTTACTGACAATAAGCCACATGTTTACTGTACTGGAATTTCCTTACATTGTCTAACGCCACTTTTCTTAACTGAGTTTATTGTAGGAGAAACTGGAAACCATAAACGCATGACAGCTTAAAAAAAAAAAAAAAGAAATTAGGAATAGGAATAATAGTAAAGATTAGGTTCCTCATCTTCTTCTGAAGAGCTCTTCTTGTTCCCACAGGTGCCCATTTTCACTGCAAGGAGATTCCCTTGAAAATCCAGTCTCCTACCCTCAAGAACATTTCCTCCAGCCAGGAGGCACACAGCACTAATTCCCTGTTCCTCAAAGCTGGCAAGCAGAGAAATTGGAAGCATGACCAATGTTAGCATGATCCTTTGGAGCTATTCAAGAGAAGATGAGACTGTAAACATATCCTTTGAGTGTGAGGTATTATTGTAAACATCTTTGTAAGCTGCCTTTTTCCAGAAACTAAGGATAGCAGGTTAACCCACACACACTGTAATACTTAGCCACCAGCTATTAGCAGGGCCTTCCCTGAACACCACCTGAAATCTGTGCCCAAAATGCTGACTTCCAGTTAGTCTAACAAGAATCCCCTTCATCATTTCAACGGTGACTAAATTAGAAGATCATGGGGATACATAAACATACAGGAGTCACAAAATTAAACATTTTGTATGCAAAAAAAATATTTACCAGGAAAAATAAATTTCTGATTTTATTTAAGCATTGATAAATTTGTTACAGACCAGTAACATACTATACGGAAGCATACTCGATTACACCAAAATAAAAGATGCAGCGTGACACAGGTGAGCACCCTACAACCCTGGAACGCGATTTCACTGCTGGGAAACATTCCAAATGCTGCCAGCTTAAAAACAAACAAAAAGGTGCTGCTGAGGTGAAGAACGAACCAACATTTAACAGCTACAGGCATACATGCGACTTCAGTGTTACACTACTACAGATGGTTTTTCAAAGTTCATTTTTAGAAGTTGTGACAAGCAATTTTTCTCTTCTCAATAGCTTCCAGAACAACGCATGACAAGCCACCTCTCAGATTTTTCCTGAACTCTTGATCTTTTAACACAAACACACTTTGGATAATGCTGATCGTGACTGCTCCCTGACAATGAGCAGACCCGAGCGATCTCTGAGAGCACAGCCCTTGGCTCACATTATACACTAAATGCTACATGCAGGTTCCGTTTCTTCTCTTCCCAGGGTCTGCCGCAGACTCGCACCAGCTCTAACTCCCAGATTTACACCATGTATCCTCTATCCCCTGGGCAAAGTTGTCCACCCCATTCTCCACCCTACCTGTTTCACTGCACCCTGGTCTTGTGCTTTATACACCCCTCAACCAAACCAACCCCCCAGCCTTATCCTTCTGAACTGCTGCTTGTAGATACGAGGGACACAGCAGCAGTTAATGAACAGCAAGTGGGTGAAAGAGGGGTGGCCGGGTCAGGACCCCCTCATTAGAGCCCCGATGCTTACAGGGATGTATTCACAAGCCTAACACAGTCAAAGCAGCAGAAGGGATGGCTGAGAGGCGTGAGCACTTGAAGGGGTCTCCTTCCTGCATGGATTCCGGTAACACTACCCAGAGCAGTTTTAAGAAAGCAACATCTTTCTTTGTTTCTCTTCCTCTTTCGGGAAGAAAGAGAAAAATCAGGAACTGCTGTGAGAAACAAGAGGCTGTAAAGTGATCCAAAGATCAGAAACGCAACGCAATTGGTGCTGGTAGAAGGCAGGGCTAACTTATCTGACAGATCTCGCAGCTGATGAGAGGAAATCAATATAACCAAGGAAGGAAAAGCGAGGCCTTGGTAGCACATTAACTGAAGTCGTGTTCTGAGAGTTATCCTAGAAAGTTGCAGGTTTGAGTCCTCCCCCACCACATCTGTGTGGCCCATGGGAAGAAGCAGATATTTGACTCTCTGATGGGACAAGATCTGTGCAGATGGCTACGTGTATGTATGAAGTATACGCAACTTAGCACTAAAAACCTGCCCACCTTGTAAGGCCTGCTCCCCTGTTACATGATGTTGTAATAGGATGCATTTGGGGCTGCAGGCTCAGATGTAACTGACCTGAGCGTTTCTCTCCTTTTCAAAGACGGACAGATCAATAGCCACGTACTTCAAGCAGGTCAAAGCAAACTATCTAGACAGAGCATGACAGGTGCAGCCTTCCTAGTGCCTGGGGAAGCAGCCTTGGAATCGGAGGACCTGCTCTTACTCGGCCGGTTGTCTAACCTTCCCAAGGTCACTCCTCGTGCCACTTGGCAATTGGAACGCGCAGCATCCGATTCGCTTCCCACATGCACACCTACATCAGCTGGGATGTCTGTGGAGTCATGCTCATAACCCTCTGCAGCAGACTCTCAACCCCGGTATTTGCCTCCAAGGAAGGGGCTGATTGAGTTAATTGCTTATTTAAGCTTGGTCAGGTCATTAAAACACCGCTGACAAAGTTTTCCTGCAAGTAAAATTAGGAAGCTCTTTTGCAAACTACTTTCACAACTCGGGATGAAAGATTATTCAAATTCATTATTACTTCGATGTTGTTCTTGGGGAACGAGGTAGCTCGAGCTGGCAACGAGGTATTTGAAGACTTTGGCCTCCGAGCTGCAGTCTGAGCTGAACCCAAACCGGATGACTTCTGCCAAAGCTGAACAACATCACTGAAAAGTTCTCTTTCAAGCAAAGAAAACCTGAATTGCACCTTCCCCTCAAAAACTATGACCAAGCAGCCGGTCGTAGTCCAGCTTTTAGTTGCCAGCAACAGGAATCTCAGCAAACACAGGAAGAAACAGAAATCTTCCTCTCCGGGAGCTTTTCTAGGGCAAAGCTAAGGTTGAGCGATTGGAAGTCAGTACTGGAAATCTCATGCTGCTGCTGGCTTTTCAGCAAAGAGATTTCATTCAGAGAGCTGTCAGACCTGGCACTGTTTATAGGCAGCGATGTCACAACAAAACCTGTGCAGAACCTCCCTATATTTAGAAAACGGCTTCAATACGTTAATATTATTACATGGGTGTCGATCCCTAACCCGGAGTTACTACACAGCTCAGGGAGGCTTCGTGCCTGCACAGCTTGACGCCAGCAGTAATGTCAGTGAGATAGAGCAACGTGTGCGGTGCAACTCCACCTAATTACACCAGTGCAATAGCCCTGCTTGTGCCTTACATTGGGGCAATTCAGGCAGTACTGCTCAACACCGAGAGCGGGGCAAAGAGAAGAGCCACAGCAGCGACACCCCGTCCGTTCTTCCGTCTAAGAAACTTTATTAGTACCGAAATACTTGCATGGGGGACGCCCCGCATGCGGCCCAAGATGCTTGGCATGCTGTGAGCCAGCAGCGGGTGGATGCACAGCTGGGGAGCTGCTGCTTGGGCACTGAGGACTTCGAGGGCCCTGAGCACGGGGGCTGTGGGATTCGTGCCCCAGGAGGGCACGGCCGCCGCGTCCAGGCCCGGCTGCTGGCAGCACCAACTTTTTCCACCCGGAGACCTCGATGGCAGCACGGCCGGCACCGCCTGCCCGGCCTCGGCCTGCCTGACAGCCGCGGGGCTCCCCGGCCCCGCAGCCCCGAGCCTGGGGCCGCCGGGGCAGCCGGTGCCGCCGCCGCTCCGCGCTGCCATCCATTTTGGGAGCGCGGCGCCGCGGGTCCCGCTGCCCAACAAGTTTGGGACCGGGTCCGGAGCGCGGGGGCAGAGCCAGGGGAACGGGGCGAGGCGGCGGCCGGGCCGGGCCGGGCTGGGCTCCGTGCAGGGTTCCGTGCCCTTCACACCGGGGGGATCCCCGGGCGGCCGAGGCAGCTCGCAGCCGGCTTTCGGGCAGGCCCGGCGGCCAAACGCAGCCCCCGCCGGGCCGAGCCCAGCCCAGCCCTGCCCAGCCCAGCCCCACCGCCCGGCCTCGGCGCAGCGGCGGCGGCCCGGCGGGGGCTCCCGCGGGGTCCCCAGCGTTGGGGCGCCCACCTGCGAGCCCCCGGCCCCCCAGGGGCGGCGGCGGCGAGGGCCGTGGGGCGGATGGCGGAGTTGGTGCCTCCTCCTCCTCCGCCGCCCCCCTCCTCCTCCATCCCCGCCGTGGCGCAGCGGCGCCTTCCCGGCCTCGGAGCCCCCGCGCCGGGGGAGCGAGGAGGAGAAGGAGGAGGAAGAGGAGGAGGAAGAGGAGCGGGACGGGGCCCCGGCCATCATGGCTGCAGCAGCCCCCTCCCCTTCCCTTCCTCCCCTCCCTCCCCTCCGGCCGGGTCCCGGCTCCCCCGTCCCGCGCCCCCCACCCCCTCCCCACCCCGGGCGGCGCTGCCGGGGCTGTGTCCGGCCCCGTGCCCGGTTACCTGCTTCCCGGGGACGCCTCGGGGACGCCTCCAACATCGGCAAACACTAAAGAGAACTGACCCCGCCGCCGCGGCGGCCGCCGCCGGCCCCAACCACTCCGCCCCCCCCAACGACACCCCTCCTCCTCCTCCTCCTCTTCCTCCTCCTCTTCCTCCCCCTCCTCCTCCTCCTTCCCTCCACCCCCCTCCCCCGGCCGCCGCCGCCCCCCTCCCGCCGCCTCCTCGCCCCCCGCCCCCGCGGGCTCCCGGCGCCGCCGCCCCGGCCCCGCTCCCCCCCTGCTCCGGCGCCGCGAATGGCCCCGTCCGCCTCCCTTCCCCGGCCCGCAGCGCCGGCGGCAGCGCCTCTAGCGGCGGCCAGCAGCGGGGCTCCGGGGCTCCGCAGCCCCCCGCGGCCCACCCCGGGCACCGCGGGGCCGGCCCCGAGCCCCCCTCACCCCCCCCCGCTCCGGTTGCGGGGCGAGGCTGAGAGGAGCGGCCCGGGCAGGGCAGCCCCGGCCCCGTTCCCATTCCCGGTCTTTAAACTTGGCAATACGTGGAAAGAGTCCCTGGAAAGCACCGGGTTTTACCACACGGCTGGCAGCAGCCGCCTTAGCCTCGCTCGTGTGCCACAAGACGAGCCGCGAGGTTTTTATTCCGTTTTGGAAACGGCCTCGCAACGTTTTACCTGTTTTTTGTTTTTTTTTTCCTCCCGTTTTCTCTTTGCAGGGACCTGACCCCTACCGGCTGCTGGGTGGAAGGTGGCGTCTGCACCAGGAGCAGCTGAAGAGCACCACAGCCACCCTCAATGCACGGGAAATGAAATTAACGGCTTGCAAACACAACACACCACAACACAACAGAGAGACCCTTTTTTTTTTTTTACTTTTTAATTCGGTTTTACTCCTCTCCCTCTGCCCGTGCTGTTAACACCACGCTGGTTTCAAACAGGACTCCTCTCCCCTCAGAGGCACGGGTTGGGAGAGGAAGGCAGAAAGTCATAAACGCGACTTGTGTCAACAGTTTGGCTGTGGCAGATCCAGCAGAAGACGTGGCAGAGAGAGGAGGGCAGCTGCTGAGCCTGCTGGGCCTTGCCCCACTACTCTGTGGTGGGAGGCCACAACCCGAGGCCGTGAGGTGCGGAGGTGGAAGCTGGTGCTGCACCACACGAAGCCTCGGCCCCAGGTGGGATGTGCAACCTAAAAGGTTTCCAAACCCTGCAAAGTTGCCACAGCTAGGCTAGACACAGCCATGGCTCTGGTTCTGCTTCCAACCAACAGCACTCCTATGACCATCTTTACCACTAAAAAGAATGAAAAACTCAAGTTTTGGGTTTATTTTTCATGAAAAAGGGAAGAGTTCTGAGTTAATCAACAAATATCTAATTTGGGGTGTAAAAATCTGCTTTCTTGATTGGCTTAAGTAATTATTTATCCAGAGTAAGACAAACTAAACACTTTTAAACCCCTGCCAAAGCTAGCTAGAAGCATTAGAACTTGGAGCAATTAATTTAGCTGATTAGCAAGGCTGCAGTAACTAAACTTGCTATGTTTAAAATTACTAGCATTTTTTTGTGAAATTACTATCTTTTTACTATGCAACTGTATTTTAATGATAGCTTTCAGAGTTAGAACATGAGATGTATCAAAACTAATTTACAAACTAACATACTTACTGAGGATCAGAATGAATCCAAAGTTCACATTTCCTTCAGTGCCTGTTTATGTTATTCCATGTGAATTTTTTAAAACCGCGATTTAAAACCAAGCAGTGGACTGGTATGACAGCTGGGAGCAAAAGAAGGAACAAGATGTAGCCTGACCGGCTTCCCAAGCACTCACGGTATAATCGCATCTGAATGGCACATCCCCCAGATGTGCTCTGTATAAGTTTGTGTATTACAGACAATAATTTATACACCAAATACACATACTGACACTTAGTGACAGGACTGTGTTGTGAGTAACTAGGTGACAGCAAGGTTTTATTCACACTAACAGAACGCTGCCATGACATAACTTCTTTAAATACACTTTGGGAACACAGCATTTGCTACGACAGTTTTATACATACCCTTTTTTCAGCTGGGGTAGCTTGTCATCCTTCCCTTCTTATTCCTCCATTGTTTAGTTTTCTTAGATTCCTTACCCCTTATTTCATTTAAGAACTGAGTTCAGAAATACACAACATGATACAATTTCTTACGTATTCTTCTGGTATCATGTACTAATGAGCAATAATGCAAATACTTTTCATAAGGCTGCTACAAAAGTTTTTGCACAAGCTCATTTAGAAGATTAATCATGACAATCTATAAGCATTTTTTGTTTTAATTTATGGCAACTTTTTCTTTCTAGTTACTGTTAGTAACTTGAGGAACCCTATATTATAGCATGTACTTAGTGTACCCAGCATAAAAATGCATTCAGTGAATGTCAGCATCAGATTACAAGGGAAGGTTTCTGAACTTCCTGCAATCGATAGATACAGTTGCAACAAGCCTCTAAAATCTCCAGTCTGTGCTATGACTTCAATGTTCAATGCTTTTATAATATTACTAAACAGGTAATAGCTTGGTTTAAAAACACATCTTGAAATACTTATGAACTCATGCATCTCATATCTTAATATACATTCTGTGCCACAAATGGTATATAGCTGAAAGAAAACAAGACAAAAAAGAACATTTTATCCATAAACTTACCATATTTTTATATTTTTTTATATACACAGATGAGTTCTGGATCTATTTTTTCCAGGTATAAAGTAAAGGATTACGTATTTTATCATCTCTGAGATCCCATGATCGTTGTTCACATCCATAAAGTTCCAATCACATAGGAGAAACTTACTAAACAGCAAAACACTGCGTTGCGTTACCACTGTTTAGATTTACTATACCTTTCTGAATGTTGTGTTGTTGTTTTTTTTTTTCCTTTCCACTCAGTACCTCCAGTACAAACAGCTTAATAGAAGCTAAAATAATCTCACTTTTTGAAGGTAAGAGATGCAGTTTGTATATACGTATCTGCTCTACTCTGTGTACAATGGGAGTGCCTTGACTTGCGCAACATTTTAACTTCAGTAGGTAAATTCTGAATAGGCGTGATTAATTCAGTATGCTATTTGAAAACAAGAAGAAAAAAAAAAAAAAAAAAGAAAACCTAACACCTATAAATGCCTGCACAAATGCCTAACTGGGGGAAAGGGTATAAACATGTTCTGTTTGGTCTGTAAATATGAGCAAAGGGTATTTGAGGACAGCTGGCCTTGTTACTTCTAAGCTCAGATTCAGAAAGAACAAATTGGCACTTTCAAACTGACTTGCAAAATAATTTTTTTTACTGATATTATTAGAATAGTGTGGATTTTCTTTAAGTCATCAAGAAATAAATTTCTACCCCTCAATATAACCCTGGTGTACCCAGGAAAGCCCACTCTTACTTACAGTGATGTAGTCAGCAAGGAGGAATTTGACAAAGCCACAGAAGCAGGAGCCTGCTTTCAATCCATATATAAAAAACAGTAGAACTGGTTGGAGGGGACCTCTGGATGTCACCCGCCCTACAACCTCCTTACCCCCTCAAAGCACAGATGGCTTTAAAGCTGGATCTGACTTTGAATTTAGCAGGTTTAGCTCAGGGCCTCATCCAGTTTACTTCTGAAAATGTCCAAGGATAGAGAATTTACACAACTCCTCCTGGCCAGGATTTGATAAAAAGTTGTTTTAATTCTACTTTTAAAATGTGTATTAATGAGCTTAGATTATATTTTTATATTGAAGTTAAGATAGTAATTAAGCTAATACAGAGTGCTCATAATATACCAATGGGATGTTGATGCTTTGTATTAGTCAGAGTCATTTATCTGAATTAAAGACTCTTAATATCTTAGAAGAATGGGTCACTTGAATTTTTAATTTAATTTTTTTTTCCACAATAAGTAAAACTTCTTAGCACAGCAAAAGTCAAGTGTTTTGGATTCTATTTGATTAAAACCCAGTATTATTAACAAACCTAAATCTAATCAAACTCTTGTTCTTGCCAGATACAGGTGCAGGACTATGAAAGCAGACCACTATGGAAGTTGGAGGACAATGTATGTTATAAGTGACTAAAACCATTTAACATCTTGTGTAGTACACAAAATGAGAGACGTGAACAAAGCAAGATACAACTATAAAATTTACAAGTAAATATTATACAGAGCTTTCTCAGCTAACAGAAACCATTTATTCTCTATACTCCAGTAAAGATTTGTGAGCACCAAATTTTAACAACTCACATACTCTTTCATGATTCACATCTAAAATGCAAGTTCCCTACTAAAGTAGATGAATCACATAATCACTTCGAAAATCAAAATGAAGTGAACTTGTGTTTGTCAGCATATATTCAGCTTTTTCTATGACTTCAAATTAACACTAGTGCTCAGTATGCTGGGCAAGCACAAGGTCCTTATCTCCTTTAGCAAACATCATTACTCTAAAACACACCAACAAGGTGAATCCAACCAAACTGATTTGCTGATTTTGCAACTTGACATCAAAGTATGAAAATCAGTTCTTCGTTTGTTGGCCCAATGACCCAAATTCTGATTGCTGTGCAGGTAGAATTGTATTTCCCTGTAATTATTTGCTCCTATTACTCTCATGCTGTAAATAGTAAGATCTTGCCCACATAAAAACTTCATCCTTTTAATAATGCTAGTGAAATTTAAAAATTTTACTGGCAAATTATTTAGCACTTGGTAGTAATTGTACTTACACATTAAGAAAACTTCACATTATTCATTATCCTAGTTCATTTATCCACAGCTGCATGAAAGTGAGGTCTAAATCTCTGCTTTGAACTTGTACATTTAATTTGTTTTGGGTTATAAAGACATGACTGCTTTTGTGTCAGCTGTTTCCATCATCACACATCTTCATAATTTATTTTCTACACAGAGAACTTTAAGAACTTAACATACAGTCATCCTGCCTTCTTACAACTAGAATTTGTAAGTATTTCTTATGTTTTCCCAGATTTACAAAACACTTGGTTTGGATTATCCCTGTAAAACAATTATTGTATAGCTTTAAAAAGACAGATAATTCAAGCCAATCGTTTTTTCAAATTTCCTTACTATAGGCAATGTAGACAGATGTAACTACAGTTTGACGAATTACTGAGAATAATAGAGAACTACCAACCTGAAGATCATGGTGCCTCGGTTTTTCATTACAAAATGCACAGGCAAATGTTTAGGAATTGCCTGCTTCTGAGTTGCAAGGCTTTGCTACCTTGTGAGAACACATTAGCTTTACACAGAACAAAGTATGGGAAAGCTGAAGCGTAATCACAGGCCAAAGCAGCAATAGATTCTGTAAGATTAAACAGGAATGTTTACAAGCTTTTTGTTTTATATTACTGATAGCATTCTGACTATATAAAGAAGTGTTCAAACAAGTTCAGACCTGATGCTGTTTTCATTGACAGTGTTGCAAGAGAGCATCGCGCCCATCTTGAGATGTTTTGGATTCTGATTAGCGCCTCTCACCGCAGAGGCAGATCATAGCAGCACCCTTCAAACATTCACAAAGCTTCACCACCAGCAGCACTCATCTGTCCATATGCCAGCGTCCACACCAGGCACACTTATTGTGCTGGTGCCAGGGTGTACCTGATCATACCTATTGACATGTTTCCTAAGACATAGACTTCAACAGACCAGGCCGCATTTAAAAAAAAAAAAAAAAAAGGAATCAGGCCTTTTTAGATCTTGAAGTTCAGGCCAGGACAGTGTTAGACATGAAAATTTAGTATTTAGTTCACTGCCAAACATATTTGTGTACTAGCAATAAATTTACCTGATGTATTTAAGTAGATGCAAGAGATCATAGTTAGTCTGGACAGAATTATGTCAGTAGAAAGCTGCTTTCCGTGCTGCACAGTTTGTTTGCTTTTTCGTCCAGCTATGTAAGGTAAACTGATACAAAATGTATTGCATACTACATTAACAATTTTGACTACCTTGCTATAGTATGGATTATAAGACAAACAAAGCCTAACCATTCAAAAATACTCCTTTTACCGCAAGATAGTGAATGAACTGCAGCAAAATGAAAAGGATTTGTACTTGCAAGTGACATTAAACCATTCTCTAGAATTAAAAAGAAATGACTTAAGGCAATTGGACAAGATTATAAAATTATACAGTAAGTTAAACCTACAGTAAATGAGTAGGTTTTAAAAAGACTTTTCTTGGAACAAGGACTGTCTTAGTCATATATGAAGTCATGTAGTAAGCAGAAAAGAGAAAGAAATCCTCTGTACACAGCATTAAGGAGACATACAGGAAAAGGGTTAATATAGAGGGTTTATCACAGTCAATAGGACAACAATAAAGCAAAGTTATTGACTACATGCATTCATAACCGTTAAGTGATATCATGAATGGAAAAAAATAAATGCAAGGACAAGAAGGAAGCATTGCAAATCAAATGATGTTTTGTTTTTAGTTGATTATTGATACCTTTAGTTTTTCATTAATGCTACCTCCTGGCAGCATACAGTAGCTTCAGTCTCAGCTTGCCTGTTTTTTTTGTTGTTGTTGTTGCTTTTGTTTTGTATGTTTGTTTTAAGGGACAGCTCTCAAAACAACTCAGTGCCTGCCACTTTTAGGGATGACAGCAACATACAGCTTCAAAACATGCCAAGCATTACTGAATAAACAGTAATATATAAGTTAAAAATACAAAATCTAAGCATTTACACCTATATCATATAATTTAACTACTCAGTTTCACCTACAAAGTAGCCATATCATGCCAGAATTTTGCCATGTTATAAGAACTAATGCTGTAACTTTTCCGTAGGACAACAGTGAATTAATATTATGACAATGTACTTTGAAAGACAGAAGAATGGTATTGGAAGATTAGTATTTGTTAGATAAAGTTAGTTAAAGCTGTTTGTCTTCAAAACATTCCTTAGTATAACATTCAAATCCTGTTAAAATGAAGACTCCAACCCTCAGTAAAGGTTTTTTGGGGCTGCTAAAAGAATTATAAATTACATATCCATAAGCTTGACAGCAAGATTTTTTAATTTTAGAGTTTGGAGTACTGGAAATAAGGAAACACAAATATTCTCATGTATGTCAGACAAGAAGAGCAGGACTAAATTCTGTTGCTATATGAAGAAATAATAGCATTGAGAGTAAATTTTGCAGCAGTTCAAACTTTAACATTATTTTTTCTATGGACAGTGCAACATTCTCCCATTAAGAAAAAAATCTTAGCGTGCACTGTCACCAAATCATCAGTTTGCAATTATGTGCTATCAGGGTAATGGCAATTTGTGGGTTACAAGAGTTCCACAATATATTAAAAAATTGACAGGAATGCATTAATTGGACGTTTCTATACTAAAATGCTGCTGTACAGCACTCAACTTAGCCAGACCTTTCTCACCCATTAAATAATTTCTTTACCAAAAGTGCTTGTTCTATGATTATTGAACCTAGATGAATTTGGCTATTTAAGCAAAAGTAAAATTCCACATAATTTGTGGAGTTCAGTGTTCACTTAACAAAATAGTACCAATCTACATGAGCAGCAATTAAAATGCTTAAAAGAGAGCATCTATGCCTTCACAGTGGTTAGCAAAATCACCCTATGTCTGAAAATGTCTTATCCTTCAAAGCCATATAAGACAAACCATAAGCAATCTATAATGCATTGCATCTTTACAGATCAATGAACAGCATCCCAAGATTTTCAAATACTTTTTTTCACTGCACATAGTTCACAATGAAATTAATTAAATTACTGTTTGTATATATATACACACACATTAAAAAAAGTAAAAAGACGTCTTGTATAGTGAAAAACAAACTTGGAGGGAGACAGCCCTTAAGTTTCTACTTCAAGACACAAGCTAGCAAACTCTCACTTTCCTCAGATTCTTTTTGATGCATTATTTTTACTTTTAAGAAAACAAAGAATGGAAATGTAGAAGTTGACAGAAAGCCACACTTCCAAAGAAAATGAAAAGCCCATAATAAATACAGTAAAATATAACATACATATCAAGATGGAAATACACAAAAATCAACTCAGATTAATGCATGGCCTAAGCAAGACTTCTAAAGTATCTTTTAGCACGTGCCCAAACATAAAACTATCATGGAGATCATAACAAGAAATAAAGCTCTAAGCTGGAAAGCAACCAAGTTCTAGCATAAACCATACAGCAAGATTCCTTTTCCAGAGGCCAAATTCAGAAGCGTTTTGTAAATATAAGAAAGAAAAAAATCAGGTAAATGCTTTGTATTGAGACAAACTCCTAAGAGCAGCAGGACACCTACTCAAAATCAAACAAAGGTGTATAATGTGCACTTCAAGGAAGTTACCTCACCACAAAACAGTATGGCTTATATGAACTTTACCAGAAGTTTTCCCATTAAATCTTTAATTTACTCTAAAGAGACCACTCAAGTCACTGAACCCTGTAGGGTTTGTCGATGCTCCAGGCTGGCTGGCACAAGGCAACTCTTGTCATACTTACCGGGTACATCCAATACTGTATATAAAAAGTTTAGTAGAAATCTTTCAGGAACATCTAAAGTATATTGCACATTACCGTCTCTAAGGTAAGGAAATTTGCTTTCAGGATAAAACAACAATTCACATAGCATCCAAGTGGTAAACTGTTAAAATCTTCACTTTCAGAAAGTGTTGCACAGAAATGAACTTAAGAAAAATTACAAAGTAGCTGATGTGGATAGTACAAACATATCTAGATGAGGATAAAAACTCTTTGCAGAATTTGTGAGGTTCTTATGAAAAAGGATCACAAGCTTTTCTATATAGTATTTCCTGCCAACACCTGGGATACCAGGAAGACACTAGTAATGTCCAGATAATGATTTGGTCTACTCAAACAGACTAAATAAAGAAAGGAAGCACACAGAACTTGCAGAATTACAAAAACACATAGCAACAGATCTATTTTTCATCTGCAAGACTTCAGAATCTCTCTCCTGTCTAGCATAGCATTAATTATTTTTTGGCTCAAAGTTTGCTAGGATTTCTGCAGAAATTATTGCAAAGGCAAAAAGAAACCTATTACTTCTGCTCACGTAGAAGGTTATCCATCCTTTGAGTCATGGCTTGCTTGGACCAATATTTTTTCTTAGTTGAGCATATCCTGGCAAACTCTGATACTGGTTTTCCAACACCGATTTGTTTGACATCAATCAGAAGTTTAAAATCTCTGGCCTTTCCTTCAGTTGCATCATTATCACAGTTGCCTTGCATCTGCCCTTGAAGAGCTTCACTACACGAGGTTTACAGCTTGGTGCAATTACTGACGTCCTCTTCAAAAAAAACTTATATCCACCACCAATTCTTTAAGAATCTTTAGAAATCCATCAAAACTGATCTTCAAGAACTGGTTCTTCCACCCCTCCCAACCTCCTTTGCAAGTACAGCTTCTTTCCACATGGCATCCCTATTCTTCACTAATCAACACAACTCACAGGAGTATGTGGAGATCATTCACAACACAGGATTGTCTGGACTATTACTTGAAGACACCAAAGCCATCCATTACCCAGCACGATGCTTAAGATGGGAATTGCTGCTTGGGGGTCATGATAATGTACAGATAGGAAACAGACTAAAAAAAGTCCAAAACTCAGTGTGAAAAACACACTTCAGAGTGAGATGCCCCCAACTTCTTTTTTCCCTGTAAATTCAGAGTGTTGCAAATCAAGACTTCAGGTTAGGTATGCTCTAAATGATTCTTACAGATCTTTGTCTCATTTGCCTAGTGATGTCTATTTCCTATACTACTACTTTCAAAATACTAATCTTCAATAAATTACCTACATTCAATAAAAACGTGTACTTTATCTTGTGCACACAAAATACGGGTACCAACTTGTTCTGTAGACATATGAACAGTTTAGAGGGAAAGAGAAAGATGGGCTCTTCCTGTGCAACAAATGAGAGTTCACTCTATTCCCATTCACCAGTCAGAATGACAGCTACCATTCTTTACTGACCCTTAAACTTTTTACTAACCTGGTATAAATAATAAAATACAGATGAAAGCCAGCATATTCCATCTGCCTTTTGAACACAACCTTCAGAGGAAGGGGTGAAATGCCTGGACTCATCTCAAAAACCACCTACCTCAGTGCAAGAGTCCTGTCCTCCAGTACAAATCTGGCAAGCTGCTGACCATGCCTCACAGCATTAGCTATCTCAGCCCTTTTGGCTAGCAGTTCTACCTAATCCAATGACAACAAGCTGAACATGATTATTCTTTCCTTTTCTAAAAAAACACGTCTGAAATAAAAGCAAGCATAAAGATACAAATTATGGATCAAGAGTTGAGATAATCGTAAGCCAAAACATGAGCTTTCAAGTATTCTGGAATGGATCTGCACCAGAAGAGTGCTGAGGACTTTTTTTTTTTTTTTTTAAAAAAAAAAAAGCAATAGTAAAAAATAAATAATAATAATCAATGCTAGCAGCCTCGATATAAAAAAAAAAGTGGGGGTCATGTGCACAGATACTAAAGATATCTAAACGGAGAGGTAATAAGGTAACAGACAACTTGAAAGCTCTGGAACACCTTTGGGGCTTTTACTATAAAAGAGAGTTAAAACAGACAGAAAGAATATCCTCCAGCAAAGATGGCCATAGTCCAGACCTCCAGCTCTCAGCATTCTCAGAGCACATAACTCAGCTTCTGCATAAAACAAAGCTTCTAGTACTTTACACCATGCAGAAAAGTCTAAAGATACGAATCAGATTTCAGTCACTACCTTCCAATGCCCAACTGCACAATCCTTTCAGTTTCTTGTATTAGCTCCAAAATTCTTGATCTTCTAAGCAAATTGAATCAGTTTGCTGCATGAAAGATTTTCACTTTTTCTTCTCAGCTCAGTTTCTGACTTAACATCTACCAAACCATCTCAGCGCAACATGGACAAAGGTAGGTGCAAGATAGAACATGAAGCTGGAAAGGAAAGAGGAGTACAAAGTCTTCCTTTTTAGTAGCAGTAAACTGAGACACCGAACGGCTGTAACCCTGCTCTTTTCATCTGTAAGGATGAAACACTCTGCCCTGGACAACTGCATTAACATCCTCCAGATAGTATTGTAGTCTGGGAAGAGAAAGGGCCCAGAACATTCATCTGAACAGATTTAACCCTGACCTGCTTGGCAGACCGCACTCCAAAGTGCTCCAACAAATATGTTCCCAGCTGCTGAAGAAATGACAGAAGTTTAAAGGTCCTACCGTGGAGCTTTTAAAGACAAGAAAACATACCAGCACAAGTCAAGCAACCATTGTCAGTGTTACAAAACTCCTTAAAAACCCTCAAACACTAATATTAAAAAGTAATTAAAACCCGGGGAAAAATATGGCAAGTGAATAAAATATCCTGCATTGTTTTTATCAGTAGAATTAAATACAGTGGCTAAATATTTTCAATTTTGTATTTCTGAATTATGTTTTAATGTATTAAAAGAAAGGCTCATACTCTTTCGATTTTTTTTAAGATATTTATGAGCCTGATGGTCTGGAAAGCTTGTGTAAGTCCTGGAAACAATAGGCCAACAAGTACCTGCATTATACACCAAAACCTAAATCAACGTTCCCATCCTTCTGGGTAGCTGGAAGATGGAAACTTTTCATGACAGACATTTGCCTAATCTGTTCTTTAAAAGTTACCGGCATGGGAAATTTATGGTCTCTTTAGACTTTATCTTTAAAGCCTTAGATATTAACTATGCTTGGCCAGAATTTCAAATAAAGTAATAACTAAAAATCGAACATCCAGAAGAGGATATTGCAACAGGTATGCATTAATTTTTTTTTTATTTTTATTTTTTTTAACATTTTTT